GTTAATTTTTCTCAGCAGTAATCAACATTAACATGCCTCACCTTAAAGGTACAAGACCTTCCTTAACTCCACGTCCCCCTACATATCTTTGCTCCTTTTTAGTTTTCTATATATTGTGTCCACCTACTCATCCTTCATTTTTGAGCCCATTTCCGTCTTGTCAAAGTCACTAAGGAGCTCTACTTATAGAATGATGTAGGCAATTCCAGTTCTCATCATATTAGACCTCTTGGCATCATTGGTCACTGTTGACCATTCCCTCTTTTTAGCAATAATCTTCACTCTCCTATTCTCTGGATGCTGTTTCTTCACAGTGAGCCTGCGGTTGGAGGCCTCAATGGATTCTGATCTTGGCCCTGCTCTCTAGCTAACAATCTCCAAGTGTCCTTATTAAGAAAAATTAACTATACTTCCCGGACTATCCTATATGATTATATTTTACCACTTTGTCTTGGCAAAATTACTGATTGTGGTTCCCATTAATATCAAAAGTGTCTTATTTGGTGCTTTTGTTATGAAAGACATTACTGGGACAATTGGTGAAATCTAGATAACACTTATAAATTAGATAATAGTTTTGAACGTCATGTTAATTTCCTCACATATCCACAACAGAATTATCAAAATCAGTAGATCTATGGTGAGGCCCTGTAACAGGTTTCTAACATGTTTCCAGGTGATGCAGTTGCTGCTGGCCCTGGAACCATACTTTGAGAACCAATGATGTAAGAAAATGTCTTTTATTTTATATATAGGAAATAACCCACTGAAGTACTTAGGAGTAATAGGGGTATCATGTCTGCAACAAACTCTCAAACAGTAAAGAGATACCAAAACATATGTCCATATATAGGTAAGTAGAGCGATAGAAAAGGAGAAAGCAATTGTAGTAAAATGTTAACATCTGGGGAATCTGAGTGAAAGGTATGTACAAATTGTATTATATTGGCAACTTTCCTGTAAGACTGAAAAGTTGAAAAGAAAAAAATATGTACTGGTTTGGATAATAAATAATATGGTCACATTTCACTAAGTCTGAGGCTTTATCATCCACAGCAATGACTCTCTAGCATTTATCTCCTGACCTACCTCTCCCCTTAATTCCAGATTGGTCTATGGTATATATTACTACTCACTCACCACCTCCATTTGGATGTCTTCTAGGCACTTCAAATTTATTTTTACTTTCTCCACAACAAACAAACAAAAATCTCCTGCAGCATTCTATATCTACTATAATACCATTCATTGAATTGCTCAAACCAAAAGCCTTAAAATCATCCTTAATTCTTCTCTCTGTATTTTCAGCACATTTCACGAATCTAATCACTTCTCACCCCCTCTACACCACTCTAACCCAAGCTACTGTCTTATCTTGCCTGGAGTACTACAGGGCCTCCTACTTGGCCTGCTTCCATTGTAGTCAATTTGCCATACAGCACCCAAAATGATTTTTATAAAACAGAAATCATGTCACTCTTCCGCTGTTAAGGCATTTCATCACAGACTTAAATCTAAAATGCTTACCTTGATTTATAGGGTTCTTATGTGATCGGACCCATGGGTGTTTCTCCTATTTCATTTCTTTCCATTTTAACCTTATCAACCAGCTTCACTCAAACTGAGTGTGGTAAACAGAAGATGCCCATGTCCTAATCTCAGGAGGCTGTGAGTAGGAGGTGTGACAATTAAGTTCAAGAACTTGTTGCAATGATGTTGCTAACCTTTTTTGATATCAGAGGGATTATTCATTATGAATTTGTACCAACTGGACAAACAGTTAACCAAGTTTACTATTTGGAAGTGCTAAAAAGACTTCATGAAAAAGTTAGACGACCTGAACTTTTCGCCAACAATTCATGGCTCTTGCATCATGACAATACACCAGCTCACACGGCACTGTCTGTGAGGGAGTTTTTAGCCAGTAAACAAACAACTGTATTGGAACACCCTCCCTACTCACCTCATCTGACCCCCAATGACTTCTTTCTTTACCTGAAGATAAAAGAAATATCAAAAGGAAGACATTTTGGGCTGGCCGAGTGGCGCGATGGTTAAGAACTGGCTTGGGATGCCAGAGGGCCCCGGTTCAGATCCCACATATGCGGGCCAGTGACACTGCCCTCTACAGCTAAGATGCTGAACAACAGCTCATCCTGGAGCTGGGCTGCCGTGAGTCGCTGGCGATGGTGTAGGCTGTAGCCCCTGCTGCAGTGGGCTGCCATGGGCTACCGTGTGTAGCCAGCAGCCAGCGTGAGCGGCCAGCAGCCACAGTGAGCAGCTGCCCAGATGCCGGCGACTGATCTGCCTCGCCCGGGAAGAGCGCAGTGATGGTGCCAAGTTGGGCCAGTGAAGCAAAGTCCTCCACAACTAGACTGAAGAACAAAAGGACAAGAACTTGTCTGTTCCCCTTCCCCCAATTCCCCAGCGCTGTTCCCATCCCCCCAATTCCCCAATAAAAATCTTTTAAAAAAAGGAAGACATTTTGATGACATTCAGGACATCAAGGGTAATATGATGACAGCCCTGATGGCCATTCCAGAAAAAGAGTTCCAGAATTTCTTTGAAGGGTGTACTAGGCGCTGGTGTCAGTGCATAGCTTCCCAAGGGGAGTACTTCGAAGGTGACCGTAGTGATATTCAGCAATGAAATATATAGCACTTTTTCTAGGATGAGTTCACAAACTTAATTTTCTGACCTTGTATGTTACTTTATATGATAAAGGGGACTTACAGATGTAATTAAGTTAAGGGTCTTAAGATGGGGAGATGCCCAGATTATCCAGGTGGGCCCAATGTAATCACAGGGGCCCTTATAAGTGAAAGAGGGACACAGGAAAGTGAGTCAGAGAAGGAGATATTATGGAAACAAGGATGAGAGCCAAAGATTGGATGCTCTACTATTGGCTTTGAAGATGGAAGAGGCCACAGTAGATAGCTTAATGGAAGTCAGAATTCCAAATTGGGCTTCACTGGGCTAAAAGTATGGTGTCAGCAGGGCTGCATCCCTTCCAAAGACTCTAGGGGAGAATGGCTCCCTTACCCTTTACAGCTTCTAGAGGCCACCTGCATTCCTTGGCTTATGGCCCCTTCTCCATCTTCAAAGCCAGCAGCAGTACATATTCAAACCTTTCCCTGACTTGGCATCCTTCTTCCATTTATAAGCATCCTTGTGATTACCTTGGGCTCACCAGACCATCCAGGATAATCATCCCATCTCAAAATCCTTCATTTAATCACATCTGCAAAGTCCCTTTTGTTATTTAAGGTAACATATTCAGAAGTTCCTAGGATTTTTTTTTTTTAAGATTTTATTGAGGGAATTGGTGAAGGGGAACAGTGTTGGGGAATTAGGGAAGGGGAACAGCCAAGTTGTTGTCCTTCAATCTTAGTTGTGGAGGGCGCAGCTAGCTCAGCTCCCAGTCCAGTCGCCATCCGGCCACCCGATGGCAGCTCGCGGCTGCTCAACTCAAGGTGCCGTGTTCAATCTTAGTTGCAGGTGGGCGTAGCCCACCATCTCATGCGGGAGTCAAACCAGCAACCTGGTTGTTAGGAACATGTGCTCTCACCAGCTGAGCCATCCTGCCACCTGTTGGCAGCTCAGCTCAGGCACAGCTCATTGGCCAAGGTGGGAATCAAACCGCTGACCCTGTTGCTCAGACCTCGTACTCTTAACCAACTGAGCCACTCAATGGGCCAGAAGTTCCTAGGTTTTTGGAGGCCATTATTCTGTCTACCACATAGCTGCATGAACTTACATGATGAACCTGTTGGAATTTCCTGTTCAGTTCTGGGGCCCACACTTTGAGATGCCAACAAACCAGGACATAATCCCAGAACAATCAGAATAGTCACCTCATTTATGGAACAGCTGAAGGAATCATACAGATTTATTTAAGAGAAGAGAAGCTTCAGGACTGAAATGATTTGGACACTTTGGGAACTGTGTTTTCAAATATTGGCAGATGAGGGGTTTGGGTTAACTGAATAAGGATCCTCGTTAGCCACAAATTATAACAATAAATTATGAATTTTTCAGGAAATTGGGCTAAGATTTTAAACTAGAAATGTACATAAGCATCTTTTAATCATCCATTAGCAATCAGAAGGCATTATAATGCAATGTCACAAGATCAGCTAATTTATTGTTTCCTAGATAAGACAGTACCAGTAAATCTGGTTTAATTGCTTGATTGTTACACATTCTTCTGCAAATCTAATGCATTTTAATTACAAAAAAAAGCAAAGTCAACTATTATCCTGCTATTCTCGTGATAACTTGCAATGTTCTTTAAAATGACATAAATCACAGAAGGAAAAGGGTCTTGGAGATCCATTGGTCCAAATCTCTCACTCCTAATAAAAAGTCAAATTTACCTAAAATTTAACCTTAAAGGCTGTGGGAGTAGGGAAGGCAAACAACCGTTATGCAATGGGAAGAGGTTTATATCGATGTTTGCAAGGTCCTAAGTTAAAACAATCATAAAGCATAACTTAGATGTTTTGATTGTTTATGATCATGATGCTGCTAATCAACTATCCATTTCTGACCTCTTGACCAGCAAAACCAAGGTGTAGGTCAAGTTGAGCAGGCAGGATGTGCAGAAGGTAAGACTAGGCTTTGAGGTTGAGCATAAGGATTTGTATCCCAAACTTCATTTATTAATACTAGCCCTGTGGTCTTGAGCAGGTAATTCAATCTCACCTTCTGAGGAAGTCAGCTTTCCAACAATGTCTACTTTAGTTGTTAGGGCTTGGTTCTTATTTATGCACTTTTGCAAGGAGACACTCGTACCTGAGAAATGTTAAAATTAGGGTTCTTTAGTAGATAAGCCCATCCTCCAAACAGGAGGTAATGAACGGCATATAGGTGCCAAAGTTATCCCTTAAACATCAATCCACCCTCTGCCACAAGAGGTTGCTGCAGAAAGGACCGGAAGTGACTCTGCCCCTAACTAACATGGCGTGGATGTGATTTCCGTTCTCCTCTCTAGTAATTGAACCTGGAGGCTTCTCGCGGTTTTACCGGAAGACCCCTGTTCTAAGCAACTCCTCTCCGTCGTCCCTCCGCGGGAGGCGGGGCTACGATGGAGATACTGCGTGGTGATTGGTTGCGGCGCGTTGGGAACGTGGACTCGGGAGTTGGACAGCGCACGCTAGGCAGTGATTGGTTGCCGAGAGGCGAGTGGACTCCACCGTCTGAGAGGTAGCCGCCGCGGTGAGGAGAGCCATGGGTCAGGCGGCCAAGGTGACAATGCCTGGGGAGGGGTTGGGTGCGATGCCGACGGGGAGGGAAAGAGCGCGGCCTGGAGAAGGTTGTCGGGAACCTCTGTAGCTGGGGTTCAAGCCCTCCACAGAGTATGTGGCCGTTGCCCCTGAGGAGCAGGGTGACCAACCTCAAAGGACTGTTGAGGGTTTGTGCAGGTGCGGAGGAGGGAGGGAGGCACCAGTGGTTCCTACTTAGTCTACCGAGTGTGTTCCGTCATTGCTGCCCGCGTTTCATCTCCCCACCTGGTATTTGAGGGACCCATTTCCCATCCTTTTTAAGTGTACGAGACGCCAAAGGCAGTCCTGCGCTCCAGCCTTATCCGATGAGGTGAAAGCAGTAGTCAGATAACCTGAGGGAACACAAAAGTCTAGGGACCAAGGAAACCGAGTCCTGGCAAATTCACTTGCCAAGAGTGACCCTCAGCGACACAGAGCGAAAGACCCGAGTGCTCCGAATGAGTTTGGGAAGCGATAGCCCTGCTGGAGCCACATCCCTGAGAATCTGATGTCAGATTCAACTCATGTCAGACATGCACGTTACTGGCCGGTGCACAACCCTCAGCGAACAGCTATCCCTAACCTTAGATACCATCAGCATGGGCGGTTGGGACTTGTCCCTGTCACTGGCTAAGAAACGGAGGCATGGAAAGGGGGAAATGGCCAGCTACAGTAGAGTGAGGGAAAGCAGCGGTTATGATTGGTCAACACTAGGGAGCCACCAAGCAGTGCCTCATGCACCTCTGAACTTGGTGTTCTCAGTACATTTTAATATATGTCACAGTACCAATAGAAACAGAACTGTAAAGGGTTAGTCATTCAAAACTTTTATTTAATGGATATTAGTAATAACCTAATAAATGAGGAAGAGAAGACTTCCTTTCTGCTTTATTAATAAAAGTTGATTGACTCCAAGGTCAAATTAGCTCTGATAGCTCCAAGGCAGTAATGATGACCTCTTTTTAACTTAGTTACAGCTGCAAAGACCCTATTTCCAAATAAAGTTACAGTTACAGGTACTGGAGATTAGGACTTCAACATGTCTTGGGCAGACACAATTCAAGCCGTAACAATATGACTGTGCCACATTTTATTTACCCACTCATGAGTTAGTTGATGGCCATTTGGGCTGTTTCTACTTTTTGACACTATTATGAATAATACCACTATGGACATTTATGAATAAGTTTTTTGTAAATACATGTTTTCCTTTTTCATGGGTATATACCTAGGCATGGAATTGCCCGGTCATATAATAACTCTATGTTTAACTTTTTGAGCAACTGCCAAACTATTTTCCAAAGCAGCTGCACCATTTTACATTCCCATTAACAATGTATAAGTTCCAATATTTCCACATCCTTGCCAACGTTTGTTAGTGACTATCTTTTTTACTATAGCCATCTTACTAGAGTGAAGTAGTATTACTGAGATTTAAATTTGTATTTCTCAAATGACAAATTATGTTGAGCATCTTTCCATGGCCTTAATAGCTATTTGTCTATTTTTGGGGAAATTTTTTGTTGCATGGTAAAAGTTTTTTATATGTTCTAGATAACTAGCCCCTTATCAGATGTATATGATTTGCAAATATTTTCTCCCATTCTGTGGGATATCTTTTCTCTTTTTTGATAGTGTCCTTTTCCTTTCTCTTTTTAAAATAAAATTTTTCATTTTTATAAAGGTGATAAATGTGTAAAGTTTAAGAAATAATGTTGCACAGAAACCAGTAGGTGTCTCCTTCTACATACTCATATTTCCTGCTCCCAGAGATATAAGAGCTCTTATTCATTTTAGCTATTATTTCTTCTGATATTTACCTCCATGTTTCTAAACTTGTTTAAATTGCTATTTACTTATTTTCTCTTTGGAGATTTTATTTGTTGACTTTTAACTATGGAGGTTGAGGACTAAGCTTCCCCTTATACCCTATTCCTCTAAATATACAAGTTTTGGTGAATCAGTTTTTATCTCTGATATTATTTGACTATGTAAAGCTTATGCACAGCTGAGCCCTCTAATATAGATATATGATTACATTGCCTTTATGTTCTAATTCTTAGTTTTTCTTGACATTAATAACTGCCTTGTTTTTATCATTGGTTACTTTCCTACATATCTATTTCCAAACTCTGAACAAAACTGAAGCCTACCATTTTTATTTTTTGCCTAGTAAGATCTTTTCTGGAGCAGTTCAGTCTTTTCTTAGAGTTCAGAGTAGTTTCTTTATTGGCTAATTGCACAAATGCTGACCTGTATTTGTCCTTCACCATCATCTCTGCCTCTCCTGTGTTGGATCACTCATCTTCCTGGTTGCCATGTTTTTTTTT